CAATCAATCGATCCCAAGCATATCAAATTGGCGGTGTTCAGATCATGGATTAAACGTGCGTATACGCATTGTACAAGTTTCTGCGGCACAATAAAGGAGCTAAGGTACATTCTTAAAATAGCCCAACTAAACGGATATCCAAAGAAAGAGATAGAGGATCTTATTTCATCCTTCCAATCCACTACACGGCATTCTCCCAAGATTGACCCTAATAAACGAATAGTGCTTAATTACGTACCATTTCTGAACAGGATACACACATCTACTGCCAAGTCTAATAACTTACACATTGTATACAGGCGCAATCCCACTATTTTCAAACTATTGAGAAACGACAAAAAGAAAGAGGATCGGAATTCAACAACGGGTATATATTCAGTGCCTTTACATGATCAGCGTTTCGATTCCAGGCTAGTTTACGTGGGTGCGACGATGCGCGGTCTGAAGAAAAGGCTCAAGGAACATAAGTACACTATCGATAAGAACCTTGATAACACTGTGTTAGCATCATACGCAAAACAACAAGATATAAATGTTCTATGGGATCAGGCATCAATTATAAAAACGACAACTAATCGGCAAACGATCAAACATCTAGAGAAATTGGAAATCTATAAGGCGCACATGAAAACCGGTTGTATAAACCATAGGGACGCCGACTCATTGTCCACTGCGTGGAGATCCTTTTATAATTATTAATTTTTCACTATTTATTTGTTAATTTTTCATTAATTTTTCATTAATTCGTCCACCAGGGCGTTTTCCGTTAATTTTTTATTTTTGTATTTATTTCGAACGCATTTTGTTCTATATTTAGTGTTCTATTTTTAGTAACTGATGATGATCGTTGAAAAACGATTGAAAACGTTTTTATTTTATTAAATGTTGCTGGATTTATATCGGTGTAGTTTATTTTTCAACTTATTCTACTTCCAGTACGTATTGATTATATATGATTATATAGAATTAATAATAATAATAATAATTTAAATATGATAAGGTACATATGGTTCTCCTTCAGATTAGTTGATGACAGAGAAGTGATTTTAAATGTTAATCAGGTTTGTTTTTACAGTGACACATGTAAATCTTCTTGTGATAATGCTGCATTTATTCAATGTGCAAACTGCAGAAATGTTTATTGTTTCACCTGCTTCTAAACAGTTATCATCCACAAAGTTCTGCTCCCAAAGAGCAAACAAATTGAGTAATGTTACTAAAAATGTCATTTTTACTAACAGAACTACTCAGAAAGTTATTCTGAGTAGTTCTGTTTTACTAAACACTTTAGTAAACTTTAGTAAAACAGAATAACTTTCTGTTTTACTAACAGAATTCTTAAATAACAATAATTTTGTTTATATCTTGCCCTCTTCTCAAATAAATTATATATATATTACATATGATTCCTATATATACTGTACATGAGTATTTGAAAATAATTTTTTAATAAATATAATAAATTTAAAACTACCAAGAATAAAGTGAAAATTATAGTTTTATATTTAAAAAAATTTTTTATCAATACCAAAGAATTTGAAACACGAACCTCTTGGCTAGAAAATTGGCGTGCCTTCTTGGAGTCATCAACCACTATGTAAATGATAGAAATTCTAAAGGTTTTAATGATTGTGCAATTTTCAACTTCAATTTTCTTGTTTAATTTTGAATAGTGAGCCTTACTGCTTGGCACATGTCAGTTATTGGGATGCAAAATACCCTCACCAAGTTTGATAAAAATTGACTCCAACGTAGTGACCAATTTTGCCATCTCCTTGTTAATCTGAAGGACATATTCTCTAAATTTAGTAATAATTGTTTATTGTTTTGATTATTGTAACTTTTACCAATATTTTATGGTTCTGAAAAATTGTTTTATTTTAGATCTGTTCATATATTTTAACATTTATAGGTCAAGTATCAGATATGCATTAACTATAAATGTAATATGTATTTTATAAATGATGAATTGATATTAATAGAATAATTATTGATTTGAAATGTGTTTTAGTTTCATTAAATTTTAACCAAATTGTGTATTATAGTTCATCAATAATTAATACTTATATTATGTGTATTTTTTTTTATTAGGGCTGTTTTATGTCCAAAACCCCTCTCTCTTGATAAACATAAAAAAGCTTCATCTATGTTGGAATCACCTACTGACAATGAGTTTCACAGTCCTGCAGAAAATGAAAATGTTCATGATGGATCAACAGAGGATACTTTAACCCTGGGAGCAGAAGGTGAAATTATATTACATATTATTTCAAAATTATAAAAATATTTATATTTAACTAAGATTACTCTTTAGTAATTATCTAGTCACTGTTAAGATAGTACAGATACATCAAATTTTGAAATATATTTTGATAATTATTGATTTATCAACAAACAAATCAGTCAGGTGTCTTTGTTAAACATCTTAAATTTATGTTCAGGTGTGGTGCTGTTTTTAATTTTATATATTTGTGAGATAAGCAGGGGGTCACGAGCAATCCCAATGACCACTTACTCTGCACAAGATCTTATGATCTGATCTCTAACTTTTAAGGAGAGCTTTAAAAGTATTTAAGAAAGGTGGAGACGTACGATTGTATAATCCGGTCTCCTGTCAGTATTTCCCGACACCTGTTAAGGATAATTTATAATACGCACCCTAACTTGCGATTACTTTTAATTATAAATATCTGTGACGTTCGAGTGACAACGTCCAAGAAAAGCTAAGGAGTCACCCGTTGAGTGAGTTGGAGTGCATAATGAATAAGACCATTTATAAATCAACAAATTTAATATAACTAAACTAAAGAATGAATACAAAGTAAAATACAAATCAAAATACAATAAATGGAGTTACCAATATTACATTTGGGACTTATCCCGTAGGAAGATCAAACTATATGACTTAAATCTAAATTTAACCTAATTGCATGAAATCTAACACTTATACACAGAGAGAGAGTTCACATCAATCTAGTAGATTTATACTACCTTCACAATTTCCATAAGTATCTTGTATTTGAACGCTGTCTTCTCGTTTAGGATCAGGGAGACTTTTAGGAATCGTAACATCTATGAATGCGCTATTACAATATGGTCGACATTTATGTGGCGGTCCTCTTAATTTGAAGTGGCCTTCATTGTATGTTATATGGCAAGTATTTCTTTCTATCAATTGCCTCCTATGGCATGTTCGTACATCATTGAACAGCCAGGAGTGGCCTGAAGTGTCCCTTTAATACAAGTTGACGGCCAAGTCTCAGGTGCGGCCACTTCTGACTCAACTTCCAAGTCAGCCATAGGAAAGGAAGTTTACTTCACTTTTTTTAAAATGACGGAAGCTACATCCTTTCTTTAACTTTTCTCCAAAATAAAATATTTTTTTAGTCAAAAATAAAATGTTCTGTTTCTCCACTAATTTCTTTAAAAATGACTCCCCCCTAAATCCTGATTCTCACATATTTTTCATTTAAATGTATAAAAATCAACTTAAAAAAATTTTATTTATCTAAATATTAATAAAGATAATGCCATGATTCAAGTATTATTTACTAAAAAGAAAAACTCAAATTAAAAACAAACATTATTAAATTACATAAATCAAACATAAAACAGTACATGATAAAAAAATAAATAAAACAATATTTAGGAAACTTGCATGAATATGCAGACATTTTATAAAAAGGATTTACATAAAAATTTAAATTTGAGTGTTAAAAACTTTGACTATTAATTCAATTATGTTTACATAAAAGAATTTTTTGGAGCTTCAATGTTTTTTCAAGTTTATTTAAAATTTTTAAAAAAGTAATATTTTATATAAATTTGAAATCAAAAGATAACTCCTTGTGATTACCTTTAGAAGTTGCATTTTTTTTAAATATTGCTTAGTTTTCAAAAAAAATTCTGGGAGGTCTCAGACCTCAGCATTCTTTAAAACTATGTATGCAATGAAAAAGTATGAACTGCATGTTATCTGGGTTGAAAAGTTAAAAAGCTATAAGTTTTGTCTGATTTTGTACAAAATTTTAAATATAAGGAAAGTTGAAAAAATGTGCTGAGGGATCTGTGAGATCCATATGACCACTGGAGACTTAAGAGAAAAAAATTCTTAAATGTGAATATTGTGAAGATAAAATGTTTTTGACACAAATTATTATTTATTTACATCAGAAAGTTTTGATTGTGATTTTACTTTAATTCACAATTATAAATAATTATAGGTTATAATAAAAGAAAAATGTTAAATAAATTTAAAATTTAATCTATATAGTGTATAATTTTCAGTAATTAAATTTTCAGACATCAACTATTAATTTTAAGAAACCAAGACAAGTTAAAAGTTAGAAAGAAAAAAATATTATTTTTAAAATTTTAAATCAAAAAATTTTAAACTAATTAATTTATTTTTTCAATTACATTGCATTCTTGTTTATTTGAACTAATTATTACATGAGGTTGTTTATAATAGTCAAAAGCAGTATTATGGAGTTGGATGTTTTAGGGCAGAGTTGAAGTTGGTAAAATTGTTTTGACTTTAACTCCAACTTTGAATTTTTCTGTTAGTAAAATGCGAAGTTTGAAAAGTACTTATTAATTAGCATCTGAAGAAATTTCTAAGAAAATAGACACTTTGATGAATATCTTTTAGATATCTAAATTTATCTATAAAGGCCATTTCACACCAAACTCTTATGCATATTGCACACAATATGTTCTATATTTTCAGAAAATAGCTTTTATTAATTTAAATGAATATATTCACACAAACCTTCAGTGGGAAATGAACTATTTCCATAGCAGCTGGAGCAGGAGAAACTATTTTACAGGCCAATTTAAGTTATGTTATTCACCAAATTGTTATTTTTTTGTTTTATTGTGTTTAATTTTTCTTCTTTAAATTGATTAAATTTAAATCAATTTTTGATAAATAACAAATAAAAGTGAAATTATTTTGGCCAATTAAGATGTAGCATTTTTTTTTGTGCTCAAATTTTTTTAAGATAAATTTATTATACTGATTTTTTGATTCACACTGTAAATTTTAGAGAGAAATTTTAGATAAGAATATTCAGGTTTTTCGTGATATCTTTCTCATGAAAGGAATCAGTGTGGCATTTTAAAAAAGGGAATTGTCTGAGTCAGAATTGCACATTTTAAATTTGCTTGAGTCAGACTATTTGTTCACCAACTCCACCATGCAGGTTAAAAGTTTGGATTAGGTGAGGGCTATAGAAAAAAAGGCAAAGGATTTCAGACAAATATGCATAGATTTAAAAATTGTTTATATTTTATTTGGTATGTACAGTACATACATTTCTGTTAAAATTTATAGTATGGATCATCAAGAAAGTATTTTTGGTTTTATCATATTGGTTTATTTGGCGACAGTAGAACAGAAGAGCTTGACATTTTACGTTTGATTGTTTGGAACTACCTATGTGACGTGAGAAAGAAGAAAAAGCTGGACCATTGGATGCCCCACAAATTATCAGATGCAATTGTGTGCTCTTTACTGTTTTTGTGTAACAGAAATGCAATTGTGTGCTCTTTACTGTTTTTGTGTAACAGAAATGATTCCTTCTTGGACAGATAATAGCAGGGATAAAAAAAAAATGGATTATATAGATAACAGGAGGAGGTTGTTTCAATAGCTTGACACTGATGAACTTTCAGAATATATGTCAAAACTGAGCTTATATCTGAAGAAGATTTTGGTTACAGTTTGGTGGTAATCAGTCAAAGTTATTGCCTATATCTTCCTCAGACCAGGTGAAACAATCACAGCAGACTCCTAATCAGTGAACTAGGCATTGTTCATGCAAAATCAAAAGTCAGCTGCCAGCATTGATCAATAAGAAAGGCATCATCTTCCTGCATGACAGTATCAGACCACACATTACAAGGAGAACACAGCAGAAATTACACAAGTTGAACATTGAAGTTTCATCTCATTCTCCATACTGTGAGGACTCAACTGAGGTCCGAAATCATGTAAATCGCAGTATTCTTATGTTTAAATAATAACGATAGATTAAATATGAGAGGGAGAGGAAAATCCCATAAGTTAAACAACACGGCACAAAATGTAAACAACGAGTTCTAGATGACTCCAACACATGTTAAACAAACTGTCAATGTCAAAATGAAAAGTTATAAGTCAGACACAAGTGATCATAAACAGGTAGAACTTTGACCCAAATGCTCATAAACAATCAATCTAGGAAACAATTTCGGAAAAGAGAGAAAGATTTAAGAGAGATAAATCATTGCATATGATCGTTCGAGTACCCAGATGAAAAAAATTGCAAGTAACAGAGCTAAATTATGAGCGCGAGTCTAGCAATTTTGTCAACAACCCCCAAGAACAATCGACAGAACAGCGTCAAGCAGACACCTGGAATCAGACCCTTCCCGTGACCCGAGTCAGTCTCGGTTTTCCCCAAAACAAAAGAGAGACTAATCGGGAAGTGAGGAAGGAGATGAGGGGCCAATCAGAAGTCCAAATAGTGGGAGAAAAAAACTATAAAAATCCAAAATTCAAGGTCGGAGGGAGGCTCTCCTCCTTATTCCATGAAAGGTAATGACTTATATTGTGGTGTATCGCCACCAAGAACTTTAGACTCTGCCTCTTCCTCCTTCTGATCGTCTGCCTTGCTCAGCAATCTTATCTCGTCCGCCCCGGGGCCAGACAGACACTGAAGTTCTCGCCTCTTCGCATCTTTGACGAGAAGAATCTAGTGAAGGATTGTCGATGTAAGCATATTTTATACTTCAAAATTTTAGTTTATTCCACCAAAATTTTCAAAACATACTCGAATAACACCGCCATTACTCGTCGATGTAAGCATAAATGTTAACAAATAAACGGCTTTCTTGTGTAAAACACTTGTCATCATTTGCCTCCATCACAGCCCATATACAACCTTTCCTTAGGTTCATCCTGACGTGGGATTAATAGATCCCACCTAGGAGACAGCAACCTTACACAGGTGCCGTGGAGTGGGTTTCAAGTCTCCTATCTCCACCAGGTCGGCTACCTTACAATATTCACTGGACCTTTCTCTAACAAACTATCCCTTCTACTCTCCAGAAATCATCTTGAGGTAGAAACACTTCAGACAACAAGGGGATGTCGAAAACCTCCTCTTTGAATTTCTGTCTTACTTCTAAAATATCAGATCTTTATGTATGTGATATAAAATTATTCCTACCACATTGGCAAAAGCATGTTGAACATATGGTTTTCATTTTTCTTATTTCAATTAAATACTGTACATTGCTTGAGGGTGAAGCTGTAGAACAGAAGAGCTTGACATTTTACGTTTGATTGTTTGGAACTACCTATGTGACGTGAGAAAGAAGAAAAAGCTGGACCATTGGATGCCCCACAAATTATCAGATGCAATTGTGTGCTCTTTACTGTTTTTGTGTAACAGAAATGCAATTGTGTGCTCTTTACTGTTTTTGTGTAACAGAAATGATTCCTTCTTGGACAGATAATAGCAGGGATAAAAAAAATGGATTATATAGATAACAGGAGGAGGTTGTTTCAATAGCTTGACACTGATGAACTTTCAGAATATATGTCAAAACTGAGCTTATATCTGAAGAAGATTTTGGTTACAGTTTGGTGGTAATCAGTCAAAGTTATTGCCTATATCTTCCTCAGACCAGGTGAAACAATCACAGCAGACTCCTAATCAGTGAACTAGGCATTGTTCATGCAAAATCAAAAGTCAGCTGCCAGCATTGATCAATAAGAAAGGCATCATCTTCCTGCATGACAGTATCAGACCACACATTANAAGTTATTGCCTATATCTTCCTCAGACCAGGTGAAACAATCACAGCAGACTCCTAATCAGTGAACTAGGCATTGTTCATGCAAAATCAAAAGTCAGCTGCCAGCATTAATCAATAAGAAAGGCATCATCTTCCTGCATGACAGTATCAGACCATACATTACAAGGAGAACACAGCAGAAATTACACAAGTTGAACATTTGAAGTTTCATCTCATTCTCCATACTGTGAGGACTCAACTGAGGTCCGAAATCATGTAAATCGCAGTATTCTTATGTTTAAATAATAACGATAGATTAAATATGAGAGGGAGAGGAAAATCCCATAAGTTAAACAACACGGCACAAAATGTAAACAACGAGTTCTAGATGACTTCAACACTTGTTAAACGAACTGTCAATGTCAAAATGAAAAGTTATAAGTCAGNAAGTTATTGCCTATATCTTCCTCAGACCAGGTGAAACAATCACAGCAGACTCCTAATCAGTGAACTAGGCATTGTTCATGCAAAATCAAAAGTCAGCTGCCAGCATTGATCAATAAGAAAGGCATCATCTTCCTGCATGACAGTATCAGACCACACATTACAAGGAGAACACAGCAGAAATTACACAAGTTGAACATTGAAGTTTCATCTCATTCTCCATACTGTGAGGACTCAACTGAGGTCCGAAATCATGTAAATCGCAGTATTCTTATTTTTAACCCCTTTTAAGCCGCCCATTTTTTTAGAATTTTTAATTAAGCATAAAAAATACTTAAAACTGAAAAAAAACCAAAGAAATGTGTTAATTTTGAAGAAAAGGCTTCAAATTTTATTTTCCTTTGTCTTGTCTTTCTGCGAAATTTAACACCGATGAGTNTTATGTTTAAATAATAACGATAGATTAAATATGAGAGGGAGAGGAAAATCCCATAAGTTAAACAACACGGCACAAAATGTAAACAACGAGTTCTAGATGACTTCAACACTTGTTAAACGAACTGTCAATGTCAAAATGAAAAGTTATAAGTCAGACACAAGTGATCATAAACAGGTAGAACTTTGACCCAAATGCCCATAAACAATCAATCTAGGGAAACAATTTTGGAAAAGAGAGAAAGATTTAAGAGAGATAAATCATTGCATATGATCGTTCAAGTACCCAGATGAAAAAAATTGCAAGTAACAGAGCTAAATTATGAGCGCGAGTCTAGCAATTTTGTCAACAACCCCCAAGAACAATTGACAGAACAGCGTCAAGCAGACACCTGGAATCAGACCCTTCCCGTGACCCGAGTCAGTCTCGGTTTTCCCCAAAACAAAAGAGAGACTAATCGGGAAGTGAGGAAGGAGATGAGGGGCCAATCAGAAGTCCAAATAGTGGGAGAAAAAANTGATCATAAACAGGTAGAACTTTGACCCAAATGCTCATAAACAATCAATCTAGGAAAACAATTTCGGAAAAGAGAGAAAGATTTAAGAGAGATAAATCATTGCATATGATCGTTCGAGTACCCAGATGAAAAAAATTGCAAGTAACAGAGCTAAATTATGAGCGCGAGTCTAGCAATTTTGTCAACAACCCCCAAGAACAATCGACAGAACAGCGTCAAGCAGACACCTGGAATCAGACCCTTCCCGTGACCCGAGTCAGTCTCGGTTTTCCCCAAAACAAAAGAGAGACTAATCGGGAAGTGAGGAAGGAGATGAGGGGCCAATCAGAAATCCGAATAGTGGGAGAAAAAAACTATAAAAATCCAAAATTCAAGGTCGGAGGGAGGCTCTCCTCCTTATTCCATGAAAGGTAATGACTTATATTGTGGTGTATCGCCACCAAGAACTTTAGACTCTGCCTCTTCCTCCTTCTGATCGTCTGCCTTGCTCAGCAATCTTATCTCGTCCGCCCCGGGGCCAGACAGACACTGAAGTTCTCGCCTCTTCGCATCTTTGACGAGAAGAACCTAGTGAAGGATTGTCAATGTAAGCATATTTTATACTTCAAAATTTTAGTTTATTCCACCAAAATTTTCAAAACATACTCGAATAACACCGCCATTACTCGTCGATGTAAGCATAAATGTTAACAAATAAACGGCTTTCTTGTGTAAAACACTTGTCATCATTTGCCTCCGTCACAGCCCATATACAACCTTTCCTTAGGTTCATCCTGACGTGGGATTAATAGATCCCACCTAGGAGACAGCAACCTTACACAGGTGCCGTGGAGTGGGTTTCAAGTCTCCTATCTCCACCAGGTCGGCTACCTTACAATATTCACTGGACCTTTCTCTAACAAACTATCCCTTCTACTCTCCAGAAATCATCTTGAGGTAGAAACACTTCAGACAACAAGGGGATGTCGAAAACCTCCTCTTTGAATTTCTGTCTTACTTCTAAAATATCAGATCTTTATGTATGTGATATAAAATTATTCCTACCACATTGGCAAAAGCATGTTGAACATAATGGTTTTCATTTTTCTTATTTCAATTAAATACTGTACATTGCTTGAGGGTGAAGCTAAGATGTTTTACAGTTGACAATTAAAAACTAAATATACTCTTGATGACCTAATATATATTAATTTTACAAATTTAACATGGTTTTAAAAATTTTGACTGGAACATATAGCTTAAAAGTAAATACAGTTAGTTCAGTTAAGCAGAGTTTGGATTAGTGAGATTGACTATTATTAAAAAATCCACTGAATTTTAATATTATTTGAAAAATTATATGACATTCAATGGAAATTATACAAGATATTCAAAATACATAGTCTCATTAATTTCAAAGTATAAAATTTTTTTTTGCTTTGTCCTTATTTTAAAATAGAATTGTTGTCTTAAATCTATTAATTTCAAATGTGATATTTTAATTTCTTTTCAGCTCACAATTTACATGGTGTTCATGGATATATAGCAGGCAAAAGGTAAATTTTTTAAATTTTGATATCAATTAATTTTCATAAATTTTTATGTTGGGTAATAAAAGTTACTTTTTCTTTTTAATGCCACATTTTTCACAAAAGTTTCTGAATTGTATATTTCACAAATAGTTATGGGAATATGCAGATCATCTGATAAAGAACTGACAGATTATAGAAACTCAAATTTATTTTAGGAAAACAGATATAGATACATGATTTATTCTAATTAGTGAGCAAATTGAGAAAGATTTCTCAGCTTTAAGAAATTTTAATGTGTGCATCATGTGTCAATCTCACAATATTGAGACAATATTCAGTCTTTCTCCGTATTATATGACATGTTTTGAATGAGTTTCACTGCATTTATTATGCAACCTTTTAATTTTCTACATCTGTAACAGGCATTAAAGTCAACTTTATCAATATTTTAATGCCTATCTTGAACGTTACTAAATATATTTATAATAATTAATTTTAAAAACTAGTTCAATTTTCAAATGTTTTCTGTTATAAAATTAACAGAAAATAAAACAAAAGATTGAATTTTAAAAAACTTGACAATGAGTAAAAATAATTTATAAAGAATTCATATAAATGTGTGTTTACACTCATAAATAAATATGGTATTTGTTTCTTCATATATAATTTTGATTTTTATAATGTTAAATGTTAACCATAATTGTAAATATTTTAGGTCTGCTGATGCATCTCCTAGTACCTTATCACCACAACCAAATAAAATTACTCTTGATGATTTGCGTTGTAAACAAAGTAGTTTTAATTCAGAAACATCGGGTATCTCTGGTATATCAAGTATATCAAGGTAGTTATATGTTTACTTTTGTAGTGTAATACAATTATTATTATTATTTTATTTACAATTGAGTTACCCTTATGAAAATAATTATTTTATTGATTTCATAAAGATTTAAATTAAGAAAGTTGATCAATTTTATAATTAAATTATGTAGTGAATCTTATTTCAAGCAATAAAATAATAATTAATCTTGAATTTTTCTAGTATTTAATAGAATACAAAATAAATTTAAGATGATAATTGTATGCTAATTAATTATTTTATGATTTTATTAACTAACTTAGAATTATATAGGTTTTATGGTTAATTTTGTTGTGCTCCTATTTTCAAACATCATCACAAGTTATTTTTAATTGTGCTGTTTGTATTTGATTCAGATACTTGGCTTCAATTTTGTGTTAATTGTATCCTTAAGACATTTGGTTATTTTTATTGTGTGAGTGAAAAAGTATAAAAAGCATTTCAATAATGCATTTCTTCTGCTGTAAAAAGTAGTCAAATTCAATTGCAAAAACTTATACCTTTGTCATATTACTGATTCATTAATATCTGCATTTTTTCAGAGAACATTACACTTAATTCTTGAATAGTTTTCTTGTTACTACTGTATAATCATATCAATTAGTTCATTACTCTAATTTTACTTATGAAGATAATAAATATGATTGAATTCATGTGATATAATATGGAATAAAGTTTATTTAGAAATATTGAAATATCAGTTAAACTTGTATAACTTCTTTAAAAGAAAATTAAGATATTCTTAATCATAATTTATATGTAAATAAATTAGTATAGACTAGAATTATGCTTTACAGATATTTTAATAAAGTGTTTTGAAAGCATTGTTGTAATTTATAATTAGAAATTAATAAATATTAATTTGTTTTCAGTGTTGAATCTCTTCTTGAAGCTCGTAGAGAGGATCCAGAAGAGATTTTATTAGCACTTGGATTTGGTGGAAAGCAGAGTTATGATCCTCTCTCTAGGATTCCTCAACGCTTCTTGAAACAGCATTCTCAAGTTCGAGGAGTTGATATTAATACATTTTTACAACAGCAAGAGGATTTATATCATCGACATGATAACAGTTCTCTTGGCTACATGGGTCTTTCAGGTCAGTATGAATCACAAATTGGAAGTAGTTGGAGCTTGCCTGCTATGAGCAAGCAAGAGAACTGTATAAAAGATATTATCATACGAAATATTGATTCTCATTCAGAAGGTGCACGGAAATCTAAGAAAAAAATGGGTGTTAAATTTGTAGATGGTGTAGATAACGAATTTTTACATCAGCAATCATCTGACGATAAGACAATTCCTTGCATATCTGTGACAATAAGTTCTGAAGATTCAAATCAAGTTCATGAAACAGAAAAAGATTGGTGGCAGCAATATGTAGAAAAATCTGATGTTACAGTTCTTAATTTTAATGATATTCAAAGTAATTGTAACTATTCTTCAACTGACATTTGTGGCAGTTTTAAGCTTCAGTCATCTCAGAAACGTATGATTCATTCAAGTTTAGTTTAGTCAAGTATTTTTTTAATAAAATGTTTGGAAGTAATAGTTACTATGGAATACTCTGGCTGCCTTTGTTTTGTATTAATGTAAATATCTGAAAATATATTTGAAATTTTTAAATATTATTTTAGATTATAATATAAAAATAATAAATTTTAGTGATTATTGTTAAATATATTACAATAATAATATCATTGACATCAAAAACAATTTGAATTCATTAAATTTTTTCAGAATTATTTTTATTTTGTTACAGGTTATGTAAGTTTGTTATAAAATAAGAGTCCAGCTGTATCATTTGATCATAAATTAATATTTACTTATTACTATAACAATATAAAATTTATTAATTATTTAATAATAAATTTTGGAATTCTTTTATTTATCTAACTATTCTAGATTAATGGTAACTTTTTCTGTGCATTAAATATAATTTTTTTTTCTCCATCCAATGGATAAAAATAAGCTATATATTATACATTAAATAGGTTCAGTAATTTTAGTGTCTTAAAATTTTTTTACATTTCTATCTTATTGTGTAGCTGCACAGACACAGCACAATGGAAAACAAATCAAAGTGCACAAGACAAAATAATGAATTCAAATTTACTATCTGATGATGATGATATGAGCAAAGTATCTCATAATAGAAAATAAATGAGAACACAAAAATTAATTTACATTTTTGAGATATTTGTAATTTTTTTTAACAATCTAGTTTTTATTATTTGATTTGATTTTCAATGTTTTATAGATAGAAGGCATATGTGAATCATTCTGTAGAATATCTATACATTATCATCTGATTCAATATATGCATGAAAAATTAAATAATGAGTATTTCAGAAAAATATATAAATTTGTGTGTGTGACTATACTATTGTGAGACTGCTATTAAGTATCACTATTGTACACTATTGTATCACACTAGTAAGAGATGAAATCTACATTCTAATTCAATTATATATGAAAAAAAATTGTTAGATTATAGATTGGATTTGAATCTGGGTCTCCTACTCTAATATAATATTTTTTAATGAAAATTCATATATAAGATTGCTAATTTTTCATTTAAAAGTAAGCTTTATTTAATGATGACATTTTGCTATATATTATATTTATACTAATCTATAGTATTATGCATTTTATTTTAACTGTTATATACTATGTATTGAATGCCACTTTGTGTTTCCATTGTTTGCTATCTGTGTAGTTAAAAGGAGTTGAAATTGAAGTTGTTAATACTGTTACATTTATATTAACATAAAACTTGAAATGTGTGCCAAAAGTTTATTTTGAATGATAAATTAAACATCAATAATCAGTATTATAAATATTATATAACTTTTATAAGTTAAACTATATGTATTTAAATATCTTTAGAGCAATACTTTGGACAGCAATTATAGCTTGTATTTCAACTTGTTATTTTAGAAATTTAAAAACAGTGAATTGCATTGGAAAAATTTTGATCATATTTTAAATTTTAACACTAATCATTGAAAAATAAAGGAAAAATTAAAATATTTTAATATAATTTTTTTAAAAATATATCAAGAAAAACTATTACAGTACAGCGTCGTTTATCTGAATCAATTGGGGACTGGGGTTGTTCGGATAACTTATTTTTCGGATAACTGATTGTGTACGAAAAAATACATTAACCTATTGCGTGTTGAAATTTTTCTCCGTTGCGTGTCGCTTCGCGTTGAATTTTCGTCGATGTTAAGCCTAACGAAGACTATTGTATCGTTAAAAATTATTTTTTTATTTTGTACAAACAAAATAAATATATTGAAAAATATAAAAACAATAAAAAATTATACTTCAGAAGTTAATTTAGTATCAAAAACGTAAAATATTTGAGTAGCCGAAGACATAGCCAAAGATTGCAGCGCCACAGCACTGGCGAAAATTTAAATTTGCCGACTGGAATTCTTTCGGATAACTGACATTTCAGATAACCAACTTTCGGATAAAAGACGCTTTACTGTATTACTTTTAAAATAGAGTTTGCATTACTTTTTCTTTTAATCAATCTTAAGACAGTAAAACCTCACTTTGTGACCATTTTAGTTGTGTGGCCACTTTTGAAATTCTCCTGTAAAACTGCATAAGTTTTAATATAAATCAAACTCAGTACTGGTAGCCATAACACTTAAACAACGAAGATAGGAGTATCCTAAAATTATATTTATCTCTGCTCACATGGCCAACAGAACAAGAAAACCCAACATTCCTAAATTCAATGTATTGTTTAAAGTGCTTTAAATGGAACTGATTGTTGTTACTATAGTTTTGGAACAGTTTGCTGAGATTTCTAACAGGATGACAGTCAAATAAAATATATCTTCATTTACACTTGACATATTAAATTTATCTCTAGAAATTAGTAAGAAGAAACTATTATATATTTGTTCAATAATTTTATACAAAATCTGATTATATTTTGTAAAAATATTATGTAAATCAGCAATGATCAGTCTATTACTGATTTGTCACTTGCAACACCCAATGAAGAACAACGTCAATGAGCCTAATCTATATATATAATCGAGACGGGTTGATAATAATAATAAGTACAGAGCCCAAACGGTTAGGAGTTGAAAGTTGAAATTTGGTACACAGTTAGGGTACATCACAAAAACGCACACTAAGAAGGGATTTTTCGAAATCCCCCCCAGAGAGAGAGAGAGAGGATTAAGGCTTCTATATACATTATGGATACTAGCCCAAACCGTTAGGAGTTGAAATTTGGTACACAGTTAGGGTACGTTATGAGAATGCACACTAAGAAGGGATTTTTCAAAATTCCTCCCCACGGGGGGAGGGACAGGATTAAGGCTTAACACTTCCATCAACAATGGAAGTGTTAAGCCTTAATTCCAAAGCCTTAATTCCAAGCCTTAATCTGGCTTTCTCTTAACAATTCCATTGTTACTTAACACTTCCATCAACAATGGAAGTGTTAAGTAACAATGGAATTGTTAAGAGAAAGCCAGACGCATATGCAGTTTTTTCATTTTTGTGGGAAATCGAATTTTTAGACCCATCTAAAAATTCTCTAATTAGTCTGGAAACAAGGGGACCCAATTCTTGCATTCTGTGAAAACGGGTAAGTTTGACTGTAACGTAATAATCTTTATCTTAGTTATCGTTACTTTTGCCCGAGCAACGCCGGGCCCACCTGCTAGTA